AATGTTTTTAAAGCTCTCCCTCTGCTGGACAGGCTACCATAGTGTGGGGCTCAGTGACTCAGCCCCTCTGTGCCCATCAGAAGGGTGGGCGCCGCCTCAGCCCTTGCACACAGCGTGATTTCAGTCCTCGCCTGCCACCTCAGCCAGGCACCTTGTGCAGGATACAACCTGCCCAACTGGACATGGAAGCCTGCCATTATGAATCCCTGGAACAGAAAGAATGACCTCTGCCCAGGGCAGTCCTGTTTGCCCCTTTGTTCCCTCTCCTGGGGCAACAGCTGAGGGCTGGAGGGTGCAGCGTGCAAAGTCCCTCCACTCTGTCCTCTGCCTTGCCTCTCCCCCTCCCACCCTCTGTGGCTGCAACATTATGGCAATGGGGGGTCACTGGGGCTTCAGAAAGGCCTCCTTCCTGTGGGGTGCCTGGGTGGCTCAGTCAGTTGAGCGTCTGACTTTGGCTCAGGTCATGATCTCACGGCTCGTGAGTTGGAGCCCCACATCGGGCTCTGTGCTGACAGCTCAGAGCCTGGAGCCTGTTTCAGATTCTGTGTCTCCCTCTCTCTCTGACCCTCCCCCATTCGTGCTCTGTCTCTCTCTGTCTCAAAAATGAATAAACGTTAAAAAAATTTTTTTTTAATTTTTTTTTAAAAAAAGAAAAGCCTCCTTGAGCTAAGTTTTGAAGGATGGGTAGGAAGTTCCCAGAGGAAGTGGGAAGGATGGTCCAGACAGAGGGAACAGCATGATTCAAACAATTTTGTCTTACTAGAGCATAAAGCGGTAGGCAGGGAAGAGCACAAGGCAAGTGGTGAGATCGGCAAGGGCCACATAGGCCACAGAATATTCTACATGACACAGTGAGAGCCATCAAAAAGCCAAGGCAAGGAGGTTGCTGTGGGCTCCAAGACAGTCCCTTCAGCTCATGAGGAGGTGAGACTAGGGCAAAGGCGTCTGGGGTGGGGGGGGGAGCTCAAACAGCTCCCAAGCTTGGTCCCCAAGTTAGATTTCAGCAAGGCCTCTCTGTGGCTCGGTGCTTGCCCAGACCACAGGAGGGGAGGGACCCAGAGGGGTCTGCAAGGCTGGAAATACAGTGACAGAGGTCAGGGCCTCCCCTGACCTAGTCCCGGCCACGCGGTTACCATTGGCCAGAAAACCCAGAGTCACCTGGTCGCCTTCCTTCTTCATCTTCCTGCCCAGCCACCTCCAGAGACCAGGACCATGAATTTCGCTCACTACGATGTCCCATCCCTGGACCAGTGCCAGGTGCACAGTAGGAATTCCACAAATATTTGTTGAATTAATGAGCAAATGAAGGAGTACCTGCCTGGAGATCCCTACCTGCTAGGCTGCGTGTAAGGGCAGCAAGAACTGCTCCATATCAACTCGGATCCTTAGGTGGGGAGCCCTCCACCACTTCCTCTTTCATTCTCAACACCTAGGTTCAAGGCCATCTTGCACTACTGTGCTGTGTAACCTTGGGCAATAACTACCTCCCCGCCTGGCCCTGTCTGCACCTTGCAGGGTAACGGGGACGACCAGGTGGGATAGCCCAGTTATCAGTGGCCGCCGCCTTGCCCGACGCCAGGGGGCGCCATTCCTCTCCCCATGCCTCCCTGCGCAGACTCCCTTCCCCAGCTCAGAACCCAGGGCTAGAGAAGGGCCGGGAGCCCACTTTGGACTTGCTTCGTTCCTGGCGTTCGAGGTCGCTCAGGTGCTCCCCTGCGGATGCAGGACGGCAA